GTGCAAATATATTTCTATTCAAATATATATATATTTCTAGAGTCAAATATTTATTTCCCATCCTTATTATGATAATTTGATTTTAATTAGGCATTCTATCACTTAAAAAAAAGTTTCTCTTTTATTTTTATCTCTTTTCTAAAGATAATATAAATAAAATGTAAATTGTTCTCAAAATTTTAATCTAATAAAAAATTTTAATACTTTAAGAAAATAATGAACAAACAATAAACAAGTCTTTACTGTTATAGGTAACTGTTGCTTCTTAGTCTATAAGGCATTTGTCATAAATGAAGTTGATGTATTTTATTAGTTATCAATAATATCTATATATACATGTTTATGTAAAGGAGTCTCTCATTCTCTGTCATCACAAATTTCAGGGCTCACGTGATGAGGTTTCAATCAACTAGCTAAAATATTTAAGGGATAGGACTCAAAAACTTTGGGTTATGGTTTTGAGCTTTGGTATATATATGTGGACTTTCTTTTCCAGATTTTTCTTAATTTGGATATTGTGCTTAAGTAATTGAATTTTCACTATAGACACGTATATATTACCTTATACTTAATTTACATAACAAAAAAAGCTCATGGATCGGGATAAAGGGAATATACTTTTAGTAACACACAAAGTTATTAGTAATTATTATCTCCATTATATTTTAGTTGTCCTACTAACTTTACATATCTCTAGATAATCTAAGAATGAAAAATTATTAATATACACTCGATTCAATATATATTTTAAAATCAATTCAAATTAACTATCAAAATATAATATACATATAACTGATTTAATTTATCTTTATATCAAGTATGTGTATAATTGTATTTTTAATTTTGTTTATATTTAATTTTAGATTAAAAATAATTTTTAATAAAAATATTATACAATATATTAATTTAAAAAATATATTACTTATTGTCCTCTAAAAATTCATTAAAACAAAGTACATCCCATAAAAAAAGGAAAAAAAAATAAAACAAAAAGAGCAAGATGCCAAGAGTAAAGTAAGCCAACCATCTAATGACGATCTCATGTCTTGTATTGAGTCCAATAACCTTGGTAAAATGTGTACAAGAAGTTACTCTGTACCGTGCCATATTAAAAAGCAAGATGACAGAGAAAGAGGACATCATATTTACTCTATTTTACCACATAATATTGTCTTTATTAGATCGTTATATATTTAAAAACATTAGCCTGAACTGTGGAAAAGATAAAAACAGTCAATACAACATCAGTTCTTTCATTATTCATTGAAGTATATGTTTTTATAATTTCCAATTTGAAATTGATGTTTTTAAGTGGGCTACTGACTATAGGTGTTTTTTTTTTTTCTAATTTTATTTTAGTTGTCAAATTTTGATTCATCAAGTACTAGTTATATCATCATAGTATTTTTAAATCAATTTTTATATATTTTGAGATTAAATATTAATTTATTATGTTTAAAAAATTAATTTTTTAAGTATTGATTTTAAGGCTTAAAATTTAAACTTGATTCATGAGACAATATTTATTTATAAATGAATCTCATCCTTAAGATTACTAGTTATATTGTTATTAAATTAATAACAATACCTTCAAAAAAGTGATTCAATAAATAGTTAAAAATTTGAGATTTTAGATTACAAATTTTAAATTTGAATCTTAAGTGAATAACAAAGGATTTAAAAAAAAAGATTTAAGAAAAAAAAAACATCATCGTATACGTGTCATTGTTGAATGTATTAAAAAATTAAAACAATAATAGCAATACCCCATTTTGAACACGACCACTGCCCCATTTTGAACACGACCACTGCTCAACCAAAGACTGAGTACGATTCCATTTTCACGGTGAGCAACACTTTTGAATGACAGATCCGATTCTCCAAGAAAACAAACGAAATATATATGCAAATTTGGATGTTACCCAAGATCAGTAGCTACTGCACATGGAACCAGCTGGCTTATGGGTAGGTGGAAGCAATATTATTTATCATTTATTCAGTTAAGATTTGAGAGGTTTTGAATATATTCCTTTCTTTTTCTCTAAAAATTATAGTAGTTTAAAATAAGCCACAGGTTACACATTTTTTTATAATTAATTGATATAAAATTGATAAATATTAAGTTGATTTTAATTAATTAATTAATTAAAACTATTTACGTAACATTGATGCTAAAATAAAATTAATTTTTGTTATTTTTATGTAAATTAATTATAAAAAAAATATATGTGTTACACTTTTAACTTGTATTCTATATAAACTTAATAAAAAAATAATTATCACACATAGCAGTAGATATGGTCATAAAATTTAT